AACGGGAGAATTCAGATTCCTCAAATATGGGCGGAATATATGCCTGAGGATACCGACGACGTCATCACAAGACGCGTCTCCGGAATCAAGATCTCGATCGCCCAGAAAAAAGAACAGGCTGCAGAGGCTCGAAGGAAGAAGGCAGAGGCCCGGGCGACACAGCTAGAAGAAGAAGGTCAACGTGCTCGAGCGAGTCGTCCTCAGCGTGCGCGACGCCAAACGGACCGTGCAAAGGTAATGCTCTCTCAACACCTCTTGGGCGTCACCGTCTTCCCAGCTCGCAGGATATAGATGTAGACCCCGCCCCTGCAGCATCCCCTGATGCGGGTGCGGTACTGGATCCGGAGGACGAGGAGTACAACAACAGTGGACCTTCTGGTCGCAAACGCCAACGAGCAGGAGCAGGGGAAGAGGATTCCGACGAGGAGGAGGAGGAACGCGAGGCTCGATCGCCACCGAACCTTCACCCTGATGACCCCGGCAACTTTTGCAAACTGGCGAGTGCGGTTAAGCTGCTCCTTGCCCGCCCCATTACAGATGCGCAAATAGAGGAGGCGGATGGTCTGCTCAGGTCTTATCTTCACGAGCTTATGGCTGTGCGTCCTTCCTGCACTTTTCCTTCGTATATTCGCTGATGTCCCTCCAGCTCTACGGAGAGGACGTGATCAAGCCCAACCACCACTATGCTACGCACACCGCAGAGAACGTCCGTGACTACGGGCCACTGCAGGAGTTCTGGACGTTTCTTTTCGAACGCATCAACAAGGTCCTGAAAAGCTATAACTCCAACAATCACTCCGGCGGTGAGCTGGAGGCGTCCTTCTTCCGTGAGTTCCACTGTACAGTCCAAACGTCCAGAATCATAGGTTCTTCTGTTCTCCTATCCCGAGTTTCCTGCTCAGATCCTCTTAACAGTTAGCACAAGCGGCCAGTTTTCCGTCAGAGTCACCGATGCACAAGTCTGTGGTTGCCATGTACAAGGCTACCGCAGATGATCGTGGAACAATTCAAGCTCTCGCGCAGCAACTAGACAAGGCTCAAGAAGACAGTAAAAAACACTGTTCTCGAATGCTATTCTGTCATTAACCCCTGTCTTTCTTCAGGTGGTATCGACTTCGAGCTGTCTCCCAAGTTCTCGGTGGGGGCAATTGCCCCTAACGTCTTCCACGTCCTTCTCCGCACTCTCCAAATTCAGCTACCCTTGTTAGGGATTCGTTCGTCGCTTGCTCTCCCACCATCCACTTCCGCCCCTTCTCTTCCCCTCTTCAATAAAATGAAAAGGTTCCCCTATGTTGTCGTCACCAATCGACGATATGCAGCCTCAGCACACGCCAAGACTCCATACGACTCCTATGTGCTGGTGCACACACACGCCTTGCCTGAGGCACCCCTGTGGGCGGGGGAGCTTCAAGAGATCTTCGTCGTAGACCAGCCCCAGATCGGAGTCCATCGTTATGGCTTTGTTCGTTGGTTTGTGCCTGCTCCACCCGCCCTGGCAGAGGAATGCGTGTGGAACACATAGTAAGGTCTCCCTCCTGTTTTTTTTTCCCCGGCATCTGAAATACCCTCGCTTAGTCCTTCCCTCCGTGTCGACGTGTGGAATGTGAATGCACATCTAGATGCCGACGCTCCAGGGCCCAGCAGCCTGATCCAGCTGGATGATATCGTTTGTCATGTTATTCTCGCTGAAGCTCTCCTGAAGGAAACGAAATGCTGGGTCACTGTTTCCGTGAAGGCTTGACGGTGCGGGGGTTTTTTTTTTCTGACACGTTTTATTGATAAATCACCAGGCGTCCTTACCTTAGCTACACCCATTGTAAATACTTTATATTAATCACATTCAGCCTCATCATCAGCAAGGGCGGTGTTGTCCTCGTCGTCTTCATCCACCCCCGCCAGAAGGGCCAGGGCCTCCTCATCCAGATCATCGTCAGGGATGTCCAATTTGAAGATCGTAAACTCAGGGGGGTCAAGTAGGCACTTGTACTTGTTGATCTTGCGCCAACTTGGACTGACCGACCACTTGTAGGGCTGGCGCTTGACGGGGGGAGCCTCCTTACGGCTGTTCTCGGGAAAACCAGGGAAGCGGGTGACCCGATTGTTCGCCCTGCGTCGGTCTCTGGTCGCCCCCTTGGTGCGCTTGCCTTTGCGACTCCCTCCCTCTGGAATATGGGCACTGCTGCTAACCAGCTCCTCAGCTTTCTGGGCGAGAGTGTCCAGGAGACCATAGACTCGGTCCTGCTAGAGAGGAATCAAGATTGTGTCCCAGCAAGTCACAACAGGGTCAGCTTACCTTTTTGCTGCGCCAATCTGGGCGGCACCTCTCCCGAGCCTTTTTGTCTCCGGAAGTGTGTTTACGATCCTTCCAGTCCCCGGGATTCGCTTCCCCCGTACTCTCCCCGTCGTCGGAGCACCAAGGACTATGGATTATAGCGGGGAGGCCAACGCAGTTTTCAGCCCCGTACTGTTCTTCCATCTGCTTAATCACCTCCCGATGAATGTCTGCAAGCTATAAAGGGCGGTGAGAAAACTCTTTTCTTCCTGTAAATAAGAACTGACCCTTCTGAGGCGCGAATAGGTGGTGCCCTTGGACTGCTTGCAAGCCACTCTCTGCTCGCCTTCTTCCGTATTTTCGCCCAACCATGACCTCTGTTTGGTGCCCCAGTGACGTATGGCGGCCTTTTTGATAATGGCTTTCATATCGGCGTCGAGCGGGCCAAGCTCCTCTGGCAAGGTGCGTTTGTCCTGGATTGGAAAATCAGGGGCGAAAAGTCTGAGTTTGCAAACAGACTCACATTTTCGTTTCGCCACACCAGGTTGACGACTGCAACCACCAAAGGCTGGGCCCCGGTCGCCTTCTCACCCTGCCAGACAGGATTATGCAGGGGAACACCGTTCTCGTCAAAGCGCGGCAGCTCATTCTCCTTCAAAGGCCCGGGCACGGGGGATTTGCTGTCGGGCATGCCCAGCAGACCGAGCATGGCAGATTTGACTAGGGCCTGGACAAACAAAAAGGTGAGCGGAGCGACCAGATACAAAGTTGCGCTTACGAAAATAACCAGAGGAATTGGGTCAGATTTTCGCCCCGCCTTGGTGTCGGCGTCCTTCTGGGCCTGGAGCTTCTCCAGCTCCGCAATTTTGGCCTGAACCTGCTCAAGGTGGGAGCCGACCTCCTGCTGGATACGCTTCTGAATTTCAACCTCCATCTGCTCATGAATCTGCCTCTGAACGTGTAATGCAAGTGTCGCCCAGTTCTGGACCTCGGTGGTAAGTGGAGTGAGCCTTTGGGCCGTAGCGGATATGTACTTACAGTCGGTGCAGGATCCCCAGCAGCAGGAGCGGTAAGGCAGTTGACCATGCTGTCACATCGGCATTGAAGCCCACAAGTGCATGCGTCGCCGCAGGCACAAGCTGCTGGATGCTGAAGATTGGTGACTGGGGTGTAAAGCGGGCCTCCATTGAGGTTGTTGCCGAAGGCGCCCTACACAAGAAACTGTGAGCGGCGTTGGGCCAATACTAAATGCTAACGGACCTGATATTGGCCCAGATTTTCAGGAATGTGGGGGTCGACGTGAGTAGCGTTCATATGCATCTGACCAGATGTTAACAAATGAAGTCACCTCCACAGGAAAATGAACGACTCACCCCGTACTCTGCGTCATCGAAATTCTAGAAGTAAATGTGAGTCTTGCATAGAGCTTTGGGCACAGCAAAAATACTGACAAGGCTGACAGATCCCCCCGGTCCGTAATACTATGTATAAAGACGGTCAGCCATTATCTTGAAAAGAGAGGGATCCCACTGACGGTCATTTGTAGAGGCTGCTGAGAGTGCTCCATAAGAACCTGCCCTTAATATTGCGGACGGTACGACCTTCATACCATTTGCTATATACCCATATACTCAAAGAATATTGCCCAGGTCGATCATTGCATGGTCGCCTAACTATCTATCATTTCTGGTTGATCAGATATGGGGGGCGGGTGGCGGGGCGGGCGGCGGCGGCAGTATAGGGGTGGGTGGGGTTGGGTTTCTTTCATTTATCTTTAGTTCTGCTGGAGCCTGGCGAATGCAACCGTCCTCGAGGGGATTTATATCTAGAGCAAGTTTCGCTTGTGTTCGGCAAATATTTGAGGCCAACTTTCGGTTAAGAAGACGTTTTGCAAATCCCCAATATTGCCACATGGGCGTTACCAATCATCCCTGAAGATCCCTGAAACCGAGCTAGATAGCTCATAGAGGGCGAATCAGGTGTTTCATTGGGGACAATATTCGCCAGAGTGGTGTTCTGTAAGGGACAACATTCGTCCAAGTGGCGGTTAGTTGAGGGACAAGATTCGCCGCGGGGCAAGTTGTTCAGCAAGAGATTCTCTGGGGTGCAAGTTGCAAAGCCCAAGTATAGCCAGAGTGGCCAAGCTCAACACCTTTAGTTTCTCCAGATTCTCAATTCATTGTGGTGGATCGTGCTAATTTGCGGACTTTGCCTGCGCTGGGTCTGGCTAAACCCTTGCAAAGAGACGACTCCCTTATTTTGCCAGGCTTCGGCGATTTGAAGGTCCGGAGTATATCCCGCCCGGCGATCACTCTATCCCCACTTTCGCACAGAAGCTTTTGGCACGAAAACGCAGTGACTGTAAACAAAATATAATGGATCTGGAATTTCGAAATCTCAGTCTAACCACTCCTGGGTAGTACTGACTCAAGGATCAAACCCGTAATTCAGCGCTCCAATTATACCAGCTGTACACTTTTTTCCAAGTTACGTCTACTCCCTAGGCAGACCAAATGATAAGCTTAGTCTTCCTGGAAAAAAAAAAAAGACAAAAAATAACCTTATATATGAGTTGCGTCTGCATCGAGGCTAAATCTGGTAATCAACTTGCCTGGTTTATTTAGTTTGTCGCGGTGCTGCAGGCTCTGCGCAAGTATAATGGTGTCGTGCTGACAGAAGGGAAAGGAGAAACAAAAGTTCTGAGCGCAAAAAGTCAGATCATGATCAATGACTTGACACAGGTTCGAACCGGGGACTCCCGCTGAACTGGTCTAGTCTGCAACGTAATTTAAACAAGCGTGTTAACCACTACACCATCAAGTCCTTGCCTGCTTCGTGCCGACAATAAAATATCCGCATCCAGTCATTCCCGCAATCGAACGATCCGATAGTAACTCAATTCGGACGGTTCACCGAAGGACTGTGCATGCCTAGAGAAAGGTACTGGTAAAATGATAAAATGAACAAAAAACGGTTCAACAGCATATTATGACCCCACCCCGAATCTTGCCCCGAATCGAACAGGGACCGCCCGAACACATGCTTACCTACGCAGCCAGTTCCATCCGAGTCAGGCATGTTAACCGTTACACCATTTTGCTATTTACGGTGTGTGATGATGGTGTAGCAATTATTTTGTAAACATGGCTGCTTCAATTTATTTCTCTACCAGGCAAATCACTGTACATGCAATCAATGATTATTTGATGTTTATATCATAAATATTTTGGCTTTCTGTGAAGTTCAATTATTTTCTGTTTGGATGCTCACTGCTCTCCTTCCTCGTTTAATAGGGTCTCACCAACGTTGTCAACACAAAAAGGTGTGTGCGGTCTTTTTGTTGAAGTTTGGCTCGAACCACAGGACTTGGTAATCTGAAGTTGAACAACTGACAGCTCACTATCCCAGCCTCCGGTGCAGGCCAGGTATTAGCGCAGGGCTGCCATGACTCCATGGTGTAATGGTTAAGACGCCTGACGCAATTACATATAACTGCACGTAAGCATGCATTCGGGAGGTCCCTGTTCGATTCGGGGTGGGGTCATGAAGATATTCTTCCGCCGTTTTTTGTACATTTCTTCATTTTGCTACTACCTTTCTCTAGGCATGCGCAGTACTTATGTGGTTGTGAGTCGTGACTGAGTGCCGAAGGTGAACCGTCCGAATTGAGTCACTATCACATCGTTCGATTGCGGGCATGACTCGATGCGGATGCTTCAATATTACAAGGACCTGATGGTGGAGTGGTTAACATGCCCGTTTAAAATAAGTGTGTTAAGATGTGTGCAGCTGTTATATCCATGTCCCGACCCTTCAGACTTAGGTCTGAGGATGGCCGAATTGCTCCGTTCGGACTCCGGACTCTGCTCCGTCGGAGCACGGCAGACTTCCTTCAGAAGTCCGTATCGCGCCATAAGGCGACATCCTTATTGTCCGCCTCGTTCAGGACTTCTTACTTATTGTCCAAACTACTTCTTCCACTGCGGCCGGATATTTAGTGCATACTTGTACTTCACTCTAATGTTGTCCTGATCACATTTCAGGCTTTTTGTTCGGCTTTTCAAAACGGTTTGGCCACTGGCATGCAAACTCAACCCTCACTTGCAGGGCATCATGTGCGGATTACTGGGGGCGTTGAAACACGTGCTCTGGAAACAGACCAAAATGCTATATATGCTAAAGACGACGAGCAGAATGCCTCACTGTAATAAACCGTAAGCCTAACCAACTAACAACTACTAACCCTACCTAACAACTACTAACTCTACCTAACACCTTACACCCTTTCTAAGGTCTATTACCCCAACAAGTAGTGATGCTTGTCCAAGATTACATGAATGTACTTCCAAGGATGAGGACCAGTAGTTCGAGAGCCAAGTTGTAGTTTTGCAAGTGATTTGTGCTTTGCACGAGGTACTTCCTGTCAATCTACTCCATCACTCAAGAGTAAACAAAGAATGAATTTGAAAAAGTGTTTGATGTATGTTTCATGGAGGGTTATATGACATTTAATGAGAGTAGCATTGTGTCCACTCAGGACCATGAACAAAATTAGCATAAGAGGGCCTTACTGATTGCCTATGAATCACCATTGTGTGATTGGGGTACCAAAAACCTGTTCTATATTGACTTGGAAGCCAGAAGAGCAACATTGATGGAGTGGAGAACCACCCTTCACGAAGCTGGAAATGTGTATTGGCTGGGACGTTCTAGGATGGGAGAGTAGTCATAGAAAAGATATAAAGATATATTGGGATGAGCTTACCTGGATAGAATGTTTGGTATCGAGGCTGGCCGGATGGGCTAAATTGCTGGAGAACTTTGCAGCCCCAGCAGCAAGTATGTGCAGAGCAGAATTGAGAGAGCCAGAGACAATGTGCTTGCCATCTGATGAGAACACAACTGAATTGACCTCATCGGTATGGCCTTCCAATGGTGCAGCAACTGCCTCCCTTGTTGCAACATCCCATATGCGCACAGTGTGATCGTCAGAGCCAGAGACAATGTGCTTGCCATCTGATGAGAATGCAACTGAATTGACCTCATCGGTATGGCCTTCCAATGGTGCACCAGCTGCCTCCCCTGTTGCAACATCCCATATGCACACAGTGTGATCGTCAGAGGCAGAGACAATATGCTTGCCATCTGGCGAGAATGCAACTGAATTGACCGAGCTGGTGTGGCCTTTCAATGGGGCACCAACTGCCTCCCTTGTTGTGACATCCCATATGTGCACAGTGTGATCGTCAGAGCCAGAAACAATGTGCTTCCCATCTGGTGAGAATGCAACTGAATTGACCCAGCCAGTGTGGCCTTTCAATGGGGCACCAGCTGGCTCCCCTGTTGCTACATCCCATATGCGCACAGTGTGATCATCAGAGCCAGAGACAATGTGCTTGCCATCTGGTGAGAATGCAGCTGAATTGACCAAGCTGGTGCGGCCTTCCAATGGGGCACCAACTGTCTCCCCTGTTGCTACATCCCATATGCGCACAGTGCAATCTCTAGAGCCAGAGACAATGTGCTTGCCCTCGGGTGAGAATGCAATTGAATTGACCTCATCGGTATGGCCTTCCAATGGTGCACCAACTGCCTCCCCTGTTGCAACATCCCATATGCGCACAGTGTGATCTTCAGAGCCAGAGACAATGTGCTTGCCATCTGGTGAGAATGCAACTGAATAGACCCAGCCAGTGTGGCCTTTTAATGGGGCACCAGCTGGCTCCCCTGTTGCAACATCCCATATGCGCACAGTGTGATCGTCAGAGCCAGAGACAATGTGCTTGCCATCTGGTGAGAATGCAACTGAATAAACCAAGCTGGTGTGGCTTTCGAATGGGGCACCAGCTGGCTCCCCTGTTGCTACATCCCATATGCACACAGTGTGATCAGCAGAGCCAGAGACAATGTGCTTGCCATCTGGTGAGAACACAACTGAATTTACCGAGCTGGTGTGGCCTTCGAATGGGGCACCTGCTGGCTCCCCTGTTGCTACATCCCATATGCACACAGTGTGATCATTAGAGCCAGAGACAATGTGCTTGCCATCTGGCGAGAATGCAACTGAATTGACCGAGCTGGTGTGGCCTTTCAATGGGGCACCAACTGCCTCCCTTGTTGTGACATCCCATATGTGCACAGTGTGATCGTCAGAGGCAGAGACAATATGCTTGGCATCTGGTGAGAATGCAACTGAATTGACAAGGCTGGTGTGGCCTTCCAATGAGGCACCAGCTGGCTCCCCTGTTGCTACATCCCATATGCACACAGTGTGATCATTAGAGCCAGAGACAATGTGCTTGCCATCTGGTGAGAACGCAACTGAATTTACCCAGTCAGTGTGGTGTTTCAACGGGGCACCAGCTGGCTCCCCTGTTGCTACATCCCATATGCGCACAGTGTGATCTCCAGAGCCAGAGACAATGTGCTTGCCATCGGGTGAGAATGCAACTGACTGTACCGAGCTGGTGTGGCCTTCCAATGGGGCACCAGCTGCCTCCCCTGTTGCAACGTCCCATATGCGCACAGTGTGATCATGAGAGCCAGAGACAATGTGCTTGCCATCCGGTGAGAATGCAACTGAATTTACCCAGCCAGTATGGCCTTCCAATGGGGCACCAGCTGGTTCCCCTGTTGCTACATCCCATATGCGCACAGTGTGATCATCAGAGCCAGAGACAATGTGCTTGCCATCTGGTGAAAATGCCACTGACTGTACGCCCTCAGTGTGGCCCTCCAGAACACCTACTGTAGCTGGCCAGTTCTGCATTCGTCCTCTTGTGATTGCTAACAACTTGGGAAAGAGCGGCTGAAACATCTTCCGAACATATGACTCTACAGGTGCCAATGCCAAAGCAGAGATGTAAATATGCGGAGCACTCTGATTAATGGCAGGGCCAAAAAATGTTATGAATCTCAGTGCATCTTGAGTGAATGGGAGAATTGACTGGTCCTAATGTCCTTTTAGTCTCATTTCAAATTAAACAGAATGGATGTCCCAAACCTGTGTCCATGAAAGAAAATCTGACAAAGCTCTGGGAGCATTTCTTACCATCTTCAGGAGGCTCAAAACCTCAAGCCAGAAGAGTACCTTTCCTACCAGGAAAAATTTCACGGCATTTGAAACTTCATAACTGAAGGTTGTTCCTTTCAGATGATCTCCCCAAAACAGACATGCATATCGCAGATGGTTTGGAATATAGGCCTTCACTTTGTCCGTGATATCAGGCATATCAGCATTGCGTAGATGTGATGTAGGTAGCTTGCAGATGTTGAATTGCAGTTCGTTCTGCATGACTTGCATCAAGTCCAACATGGTGGCATATTGCTGTTCCTCAGTGCCACAGAGGAGATCTGACCTCTTGTCTTTGATTTTGGATGTCATATACTCTTGAAAAGAAAGATGTATGACCTTGATAGTGCCTTCATTGTTTTCTGGAACTCGGATAATTGCACTCAGAGGGTCCAACACCCTTCTGATATCTTCCTCTGGTACTTGGAGCAATTCTCCCAAACAGTATGCATTCAGAGGTTCAAAGAGGTTCAGAATTGTGCTCAGAATTCTTTTGGCATTGTCATAGAACCTTTGATCAAGCTTGTCTCCATCCTGTGGTTGAGAGATGGCTGCATCAACAATATGGAGATATAAATCATCCAGGTCCCGGAGTCGCTCTCCCTGGTAGAGAAGATTGTCAAGACAGACTTGGGGGTGTGCCTTGTGTTGTCTCCCATCAACATAGCGAACCACAGTGGCAGCAAAAATAAAGAGCCCATCTGCACGTGTGGTAATCAAGTCCACATCCTGAGCTTTGGGTTTCCACTTGTTGTGTGTCTTTGAGCCAAGACTGTCCAATGATGTCCTGACATAGAGTCGGATGTCATCTACCACAGTAGGTTCACGATTTTCAAGGATGATTGGGTGCATTAATGAAGACAGCCGATCAAGTTTGATAAACGATGGAACCTGAGGCCGTCCAGTAAGGAAGAACCAAATATGAGTTGGTATCTGACCAATGCTTTCTGAGAGCCATGTGAGAAAGTTGCGACCATGGTCACTTCCACATTCATCCAGAGCATCTAGACAAATGATCCATGGTGTTTGGGAAGATGGCATTTGTGCAAGAATTTCTACAACCAGCTTTTGAAACTGCTGCTTTGGATCTGCAAAAAGAATCCTAGTACGGTCCTTGTGTAAGAGGTTCACAAGATGGCTTCTAAAGTCACTGCTATAATCTGCCAGTTGGAGAGCAAGAGTGGTGGGAAGAAAGTCCAGTTCTCTGCGCTCTGTGTAGTAACGAGAGAAGAAGAATGATGCTGCTAGAATATGTTTTTCCTCAGCTAGAATTTGGGCCACAGTCTTTGCAATGGTTGATTTTCCTGAGCCTGCAGAGCCACTGAGCATGACTATCTGATCTGAGAAGCTGGTCAAGCGTGTTAAAACATCCTTGAGGATTTCAACTCGTGTGCCTTTCATGCATTTATCTGGGGTATTTGCTGCATTGTACTGTGCTGAAATATATTTGAGGCGTGCAAGAATTGCCTCCTGTTGCACCTGGTCAACTGCTCCGGGATAAGTGTGCATTCTTTGCTGGAACTATTGAATGTGCATTACCTTGTGGTGCCATGCTGGCAACATTCTTCTGGATCTCTTGGACTGATTCCAAAAGTCAAAGTCCATCAAGCATATGACATAATAGAAATATTTACTTTGCACTACCATGCCTCCAACCAACTTCTCAATGGAGACAGTGCCATAGAACTACAAACAATTAGATTGCATAGATTCCAGGGGCAACTGTTACAATGCTCACAGTGAAGTCTCGGATGCAGGATACTATTGAGTTCTGAATGTTTTGGATTACTTCCTTGTCTCCTTTGCTGTCAAAGAAACGCATAAACTTTTCTCTTTTTGCTAACTGATTGTGATCAGTAGTGATCAGATGAAGCTCTCTGTGTGCGATGGCCAAGAATCAACAATGCATACACAAATTTTGTGTTGTAACCACGCACTTTTTCAAAGTTTCCACTCTCTGCTTCAAATCACCCCCCATGTTGGAACAATCTATGGCATCCAGTGTATCCAGATGCTTCTTGAGCTTGACTAGATCCTCTTTGTTCCCTCGCATGGTCTGGTCATTCACTTTTAATTTCAGAATCCAATTATCTCTGAGATGCCCTCACCAAAACCATCTCTCCAAGTTCTATAACTCCATTGACAACACCCTCAACACCCGGAATGCCGATGCCGGTCACAGCTGCTTTGCCTAGACGGAGTGCTGGCCGCAAGAGGCTTTGTGCCTGTTTGAGGTTGCTGAGGGCCTGCTTGAGTTTGGATTCCATTTGTGGGGGTGCTGGAGATGGAGCTCGTGAACGCAGAAGCGGGGACATCGATAGATGAGTGTAGAGGAGTGCGGCAAGAGGTCTGGTGGTGAAGGCAAGAAGAGAGAGCGAGAAAGACACGAGGTGTTGCCAATATTAGCTCTAATAAGCATCACCTGAACAGCTTTGATCAGTCAAGCGGAGCTTTGCTGTTGCCGGCGATGTCACTTCAGCCTATTTTTGAATACATCCGGCGTCCACGCTGTGATTTCCATCGTCATCAGAGCTGTTGTTGTAAACGAAAAATCTTCACGGACAGCACTGACAAACGATGGAAGATAAAGACACTTCCAACAGTTGCAGGTTTGAACGAAGTTTGAACAGCTTCCGAATGATGGCTTTCCTGTGTCAATACCGTGTAATTTTGTGAACATGTCTGCTCCAATTTAATTTCCTCCTCTCCCAGGCAAAATATATGCAATTCGATTTTTATATAATATGTTGGCTTTCTGTGAGGTTCAAGTACTGTTTGGATGCTCACTGCTCTCCTTCCTCGTTTAACAGTTGTCCCCGGTCTCACCAACGTTGTGACCGCAAAAGGTGAGTGCGGTCTTTTTGAACTCTCCCGTGCGCGGCGTGATCAACTGAAACAGCTCACTATCCCAGCCTCCGGTACAGGTCAGGTATTACAGCTGAAGTGCCATGCCTCCATGGTGTAATGGTTAACACGCCTGATGGTAATTCGATCACGATATGTATGTAAGCATGCATTCGGGAGGTCCCTGTTCGATTCGGGTGGGGTCATGGTATACTTTCGAGCGGTTTTTTGTTCATTTCTTCATTTTACCTTTCTCTAGGCATGCGCAGTACTTATGTGGTTGTGAGTCGTGACTGAGTCCCGAAGGTGAGCCGTCCGAATTGAGTGACTGGTGCAATTGCGGGCATAACTGGATGCTTCAAGCTTCAAGCTTATTATCGGCGTTGAGTAAAATTGCGTACCACTCGGTTGCTCAGCGGGAGTCCCCGGTTCGAACCCGGGTCAGGTCATTCATCACGATCTCCCTTTTTGTGCTCAGAACTTTTGTTTTTGCATTTCCTTCTGTCAGCACGACGCCATTATAAACAGAGCCTGCAGCACAAACTATAAAATAAACCAGGCACGTTGATTTAATCGTGGCTCACACTCGCGGCGCCTCGATGCAGACGTAACTTGAAAAAAAAAAGTGCGCAGCTGGTTTGATCAGAGCGTGCCAAGGTGATTTCGACAATTTACGGGTTTGAGACCTGGTCCTTGAGTCAGTGCTACCGTGACCCAGGAGTGGTTCTACAGTCCCACAACCATTATATTTCGTTTGACTAAGTATCGCAGCTAGCCAAGCAAAGAGGTTCAGCATGGATCTGATGGTGTAATGGTTAACACGCCTGCTTTCAATATTGTGGTAATACAATGGTTCAGCAGGAGGTCCCGGTTCGATTCTGGGTCAGGTCATAGACAGTCGCATGAACAATGCTTTTTGTTCTGGATTTTCCTCCAGATTCCTTTCGCTCCAGCCCCGTTGTTCTTTACCCTACAGCGTGCAACAGGTGTGTTCAAGTCAGTCCAAGTTGTGTTTTTTTTTGGTGAGGTAGACGGATCCGGATCAACGCGGGCCGAACGGGCTCTGCTGTCTCTGATTCTCCCGACCAACTCCCGACTGCGATTCTTGGCGTTTGTTCTCTACGCACGCTGCAAATATCCAGCATACTCTAGTCTTGGATGCGCGGCTGGGCTGTCCCCAATGCATTTCACAATTCGGCTAGGACGACCTGCAAGCCCATCTCCCCCTGGAATTGGAATTGTGCGCCTCTCCCCTGGAATTGTGTCGCCGCTCGCGCCATTCGCTCGGACGGCCCTCCCGAGCTTCCCGTAATTTTAGTTCTGAGGCAGAGCTGCAAGTGGATACGCCCACGCCGACTACGTACACACCTCGCCTACCAGTACTAGCGTTGCACGCCCCTTCTCTCTTCCCACTGGCAGCCGCCATCACCGTCCCTCCTTTGCCCTCGTCGTACTCCATCCGCATCCGCATCCGCATCGCCTACGCACTCTATGCGCGCGCTAATGCAATGCTTGCTCTTCTGGCCGCGCTAACGCATCGTCGATGCACACCTGAGCATGCTCCTCCATAACGCGTTCCGTAAGCTCCTTTCTCCACTCCACTGCGACTGCACTGACCTGTTTTTGTGTCTTGCTTTCCTCAGGCCCCAGGCTCCAGCCCACGCGATTCGAAGTCGTCCCGCCCGCCGCCCGCCCGCACGATACAAAGCCGCGTCCCCGTTCTTTCTTCGGATGCTGCCGTCGCCGCCGTCCCGCGCTTGCTGCCGCGATCTCTTTGCGTTCTGGGCCGGAATCTCGTTCTGCGACGACTTTTTTGTGCTGCCGCAAAAACGAAAACGATGCAGCCCGCGAACGGAGGGCGCGCCAGGCGGGCGGATGGGACCGTGGACTGTTCGAGTCGCGGGCGCTGCCGACGCGCGCATCGACGATGCACGTCCCGAGACCGAGATCTGTGTCCTCCCGCACGCATGTCGGGATGCGCGTTGGTGGTGCCGGTTCGCTCGCGGCGTATTATCTACCCCTCCCCTCCCATCCCAGCCCATCCCACGACTGCAGCCCCGCATCATGGTGTGTCGCATCGCAGGGGCGCATTTCCCATTTGCGCGCAGCGGGTGTGATATCCGCGCGCAAGCGCAGTAACGGGGTGCAGCACAAGCGCGGGTTTCTGCGCTCACCTTGTGGCTGCACGCGGGCGTAGGTGTGCACGTCGGCGCCGATTCGACGAGCGCTCAGTGGCGCTTCAAGTCGTCCAGGGAGATGAGGCCGGGGACAGGACAGGCACGGTGCAGATGAGGGCCGCTGTGCAGCTCGCGAGCGTCGGCGTCGGCGGCAGTGTCGCGGTGGCCGGTGCAGCTCGGTGCTCCTTCCTGCACGGGGAGCGGCTGTCGGTGTCGGTATGTGGGTGTGGGCGGCGGGCGCAGACGGGGCGGTGGTGCGATGTGGACCATCCAATCCACGTCCTTTGCCTTTGCAGCCCCGCACCGAACGTGCTTCACACACGCGTGGTGTAATACCGGGTATCGTCGTCGGCTGGGTATCGTCTGGGGCGGGATCATCCCGCAGCTTGCCACAGGCATGATGCGGGAGAGGAGCGCGCGCTGTCGCAGTGCGGCGCGGGTCGTCTCCACGACGTCTCCATGGCTGGTTTCGCACTCTCCACCTCCGCGTCTCCTTCATCGACATCGCGATCGCGCCCACTGGCAGATCCTCGATTAGGTTCTGTCCCCATCCACACGGCCCCATCCGCAATACTCTCCCACGCCGTACCCACCTCTACACGCCGCACCCACCTCGACCTCCGCGTCTCGCCCCACCACGAGCAGTACCCTACCCTCCCGTATACCCTCCCGAGCTCCCCCGGCCTCGGTAACACACCCCCTCGTCGCGTGCTGTCGTACGAGTACAAGTCCGCATCTGGGCCCGGGCCCGTCGCTTTCCTACAGTGGGTCTCAGGTGGCCGCATCCTATCCAGCCCCGTCTCGCTTCGATGGCGTGGTGCGCGTCCCCGGCGCGCCCCATTATTTTTATTTTTATCTTTTCTATTTTCTATTTATTTTGTTTTATTTTATTTTTTCTGTCGTGGCATCTGTCGGGGGCCCGTGGCGCGGGTGCCTGTGCCTGGCCGTGCCTGGACGTGCGTGGGTGTCGGCGCTCGGTGTGTGTCTGTGTATGCAGCCTGCGGGCGGGGACGGACGGGTGCCCGGCGCGGTCGCGCGCTGGATGCGCATGCAGATGTCTGCGCTGGGCCGCGTCGTGACTCGCGCGCCGGACGTGCGTGGCGTCGAGTCGATCGTGCGGAGTGTGCAGCCTCCGCTGCCTGTAACGAGAGGCGGGGAGTGGAGTGGGTCCGCGGCGGGGGAGTGCGAGGGGCTGGGGGCTGTCGATATCCATCCCCGCGTGTGTTTCGCGAGTCGGCCGCGGGGTTCTGTGGAGAGCACGGACGGGGACGGGGACGGGGACAGGGACAGGTCGAAGTGCAGCGGTCGCATGCACGCACGCACACTCCAGACTCCGAGTGGGCGGGTGGGAGCGCGCGCGCGCCGGGACGACGGGACTGTGCGGAGTGCGCAGTGGCGCAGCCTGCCGCGCAGGCGGGTCTGTCGCGTCGCAACTCGAAGACCCTCCCATCCCATCCCATCCCTTCCTCCACCCACTGCCATCCCTTGAGGCCTTTCTTCCCCTCCCCGCCTTCCGTTCGACTGCCGGTCTTCTCTCCTTGTACCCACACCTCTCCCTCATTCACTCATCATGTTGATCCCGATTCCGATTCTAGGTTCTGCCCCGCATCACGTCTCGCACGGCGCGCGCGCCGACACGTACGTCGTCCTGCACCCTCGCGACGGTTTGCTGTTAGTTAGGGACTCACGTGTTTGTTTTCTCTCAGGTCTCCGCCGCGCACGAAGATGTCTGTCCCCCCCGAGCAAAAAACGTGGCGCAGGGTCCAGGTATACACACATTTCTTTCTTTTTTCCGTTTTCCTTTTTCCTTTTCGTTTTGTGTTCATTTGGTCTACAACGAAAGATCTGGTGGCGGGTCGCCAGTCGCCAGCTTGACCGAGCTGCGTGGGGTGGCTTGGCGTGGAGTGCAGACGTGCGTGCGTGCAGCCTCAGGGCAGCCGGGGTGCGCTGCGAATTCCGCTTCCGATTCCGACTGATTCTCTGGCCCTAGAGGCAGTCGCGTTGGGGATGCTTGTCGCGCTGCGGGTCTCGGACCGCGAGTGGCAGGGGCCGTCGGAGTCCGGATTGCTGCGCGCGCGTCGTGCTGGGCGGGAGGGGGCTCGGAAGGGTGGGCGGGCGTCTTGTCCTCTGGGTGGGGTCTGGGCACACGCACACATGCTCTCCGAGTCGGCGGGGGCGCGCGTGCGGCGGGGCGGCGCTGTGCGGAGTGTGTGTACGGGCGGGGGAGCTGTGGGACGTATGAGACTCGGAGGTGTTGACCTCGAGCTAGGTAAGCAAGCGGGTCTGTTTCGTCGCTTGAGTTCGAAGTAGGGATCTAGGCTCGCGCGCGGCGTATGTAGCTGGGTCGTGGACCTCGCTGTGGGGCGAGACGTGTGATTCGCATTCTTAGGGTTAAGTGTCCCTTATCTCAAATTTCCCTTGAATCCATTAGCTCTTGGTGTTAAAATTCCTTATGTACCTTTTTGAGAGCTGCGGGTCAGGTACTGCAGTATTACGGGAGATTGCGGGTACGGTAATGCCACGTATTCACCGGCGGCGAACACGCCAAAGTAACACAGAATGCAAAAAGGAGTCGGTTCACCGGAGTTAGGTTACATTTCGTTGACAGGATGTCAGCGAAACCTAATGGCCCTTAAGTATACAATTGTTACGCATTTTATGGGTGGGAGAATCAATATAAAAATGAGAAAAACTAAAGTTTTGTCCTCGTAATGTTACTAGTACTAGTACTATTGTATGTAACCATCAGACCTAAGCTACTCCTTCAACGCCAACATACCAAACCGAACACACAACAGTCGCCGCAACCATAAAGCTCATATACGAATGCTGCAAATGAGGGAGCGGGCTTGTTCTGTCCAATGTCGAGACATAGACTGCACAGATGCTGACTAGAATTTCTACACACATTTTGAACCATCTGGGCAACAACACATAAGCATACGTTGTCGAGGCACATGCGCTCAAGCCAACGAGGACAATGCATACTGCAAAGGATTTCCAGGGATACTTCCAATCCCGAGTTTGCTCTGAGATTGGAGCGGGAGAAGGAGGTATGGGCTGCTGCTGCTTCTCACTATCTTGAACGGCAGCCTCTTTTTTAAGCTTCTTATTCTTCCGAAGATCCTTGAGCTGAGACTCTTTGGAAGGTATAGTGTTGATAGAGACGAGATAATCGTCCTTATAGATGTATGCCATGCATTTCTCGACGACAAACTCTTCGACTTTGGTGGCAAATGACGGAGAACGGAGGATACGGAGTGCAGAGAGCAAGGCAGCTGTATCGTTGGATGCGCTTGACAGAATTCCAGATGCAAGACTTAGAATTGCATATTTGTTGTTATCCATGTCAGCTACTGCAGGAATATAGAATGCACAATCTGTGTGGGTGGCATGTTGACGAAAGGATTGCTGCCCAGGGACTTCGAAGATGCCTATAATCCGAGCTGTGACACGTTCCTTCAATCCGAACATTGCTCTGGCAGCTAGCATTATGCTCACACAGAATGCTAGCCATACCATGCCATGTCCGACAAGACCGGTCGGAGGAAACCGCTGGGCCTGAAGAGCACCATATACCCATCCACCTGCAATGACCGCAATCTCGAGTACATTGAGCAGCAGCACAATGACCACCTGTTTAATCTTCATAGACCACAAGAGAACATCTCCAGCGACCAAAAAATTGCCTTCCTCAGTCTCCAGATTTAACTG